CCCACGCGCACACGCACGCGCACACGCGCGCGCCGGCCAGCCCCGGCCGACGCCGCGCGTCCTTCGGCAAACCCCGCCTCTTGACGGCCAGCCTGCGGGGAAGCGCGGTCGTCGGCGTCCCCTCCTCTCACAGCGAGTCCCTGCCACACACGCACTCCTTCCTGGGAGACTGGCCCCGACCGATAGGAACGTACACACGCCTCGGCGGCTTGGTAGTCACACGCACACCAGCTTACACGGACGCTTCCCACACACGCTGCCCTCCGAGCTGGGTCGTCTCGGGAACGGCCACACACACTCACACTCCACGGAGGGCTGGGCGCACCGAGGACACGCCCAACCGAACCGCTCCGTGGGCTAGGCCCTGCGCGTCCGCCAGCGAGGTTGTCTCACACACACAGCCTCTCCCCGCACGCGTCTCACAATTCCCTCGTACACACTTCCCAGAGTGTCTGGGCACAGAGACCCTCGAAGGCGCGGGCACGTGCACACGCGCGCTCACTCCCCCAGGGCCTGCCTCCCGCTCCGAGCGGCCACTGGGGCGCACTTCAGGCTACAGCCGCCTACCCCGGCCCAACCCTCAACCCTCAACCCCAGCACCACATCCCGCGCCGGCCCGCAGCTGCCGCTGCCCGCCGCAATCTCGGCGTGGGCTGCAGCCCCCGCCTTGCTGAGCGGGAAAGTAACCAAGCTGGGTGCGTGTGTGTGTGTGTGTGTGTGTGTGTGTGTGAGAGAGAGAGAGAGGGAGAGAGACAGAGAGAGAGAGATGCATGTGTGGTGCACGGGACTGGTATGTGGAATGTCTTGCATGTGAATTTGCGAGTTTGGTGTGTGTGATGTATGTGTTGTGTGGGTGTATGATTGTTATGTGGAGTATATGAGGTATGTGTGTACAGTTAGATGTGTTAAGTGGGTACACGATACAGTGATGTGTGTGTGGTGTGCGTGATGCAGGTAACTTATGTGGAGTGTGATGAGATGTATGTATACATGTGTATGTGGCATAGATGTATATGACCAATGTGGAGTGTGGGTGGTGTGTATGTGTGTAGTATGTGTGTAGTAGAGTGTATGTGATGTGTGTAGTTGAGTATGTGTTTGTATTCATGTGTACATGGTGTGTGGGTGGGTTTGGTTGTTATACAGAATGTATGTGTGTGTAGAAAGTGTGTGGCAGTGTGATGTGTGTGACTGGCATGTCGAGTGTGTGTGTGGCGTATATGGGTGGAGTTGGGTGTGTGTGGTACGTGTGGGTGTGGCACACAGACAGGACTCATGTTTGCCTTGGACTCTGTGTGTGCCTTTGAGTGTTAACGCAGGCCCTGGCCAGCTCGTATGACTGGCCCTGATGGAGGCTGCAGCTCCCCCACACCGTCAGCTTGCCTTCTTCCCTACTGGGGACAAGTTGCTCCAAATAGATTTTCCACGCCAGGCTCAGCTGCTGAGAACCCACCCCTGGCTGGATTTAGTGAATAGAAAACAAACCATTTGCTCCCAGGGAGCACGGTTGGGAATTAGTGTTTCCCTCCAACAAGGCCAGAGCCCAGCCTGAACACAGAAAAGGAGGGGACTTCCTCTAGTTATTTGCCAAATGTTTTTCAGAGCAGAGGAAAAGGCCTGTAATTGCCAAGGTTTAGGGAACAACAGCAAAAAGCCTTTCAGCACAAATGCATGTGGGAACATGTTTATGCCTGGGTCCACGTTCACCATTACTTTATTCCTCTCTTGCTTTGCACTGACAAGGAGACTCATCGTGGCTTTGAGATAACCAAATGCATCTTCAAGCACTGAAAATCCTTGCTGCCATAAGCAGTCTTTCATAGTTTTCCCTTTTATTTAACCTTGGCTTAAGAAGGGAAATGTAATTTGCATATATCTGACTCTAGTCAAGTCTTCATTTATTAGGAGTTGAGAGATACTCAATTTGGTGGCAAAAATATTTTCAAGAAAGGTTTGAATCAAAATCTCAATATATGGTTCCCCCGATAACCTAATATTGAAACAGTTATTAACGTGAAGCATCATCTCTTCAGCTTCAGCCCCAGGCACCCCTTCCCGAAAAAAATTTTAAGCAAGTACATCCCTGACTCATAAAATCTATCCATCCCTGCTTTTAATTTCGCAGTCTGATCTATCTCAGAATAATATGAGTAAAAGGAAGAAAAAACTTAATCAAAGAAATTCATAATCCATTGTTGTTGTAGTAAACCAACTCAGAATTTTTCAAACAAAGGGGCCTGCCCATCTCTCTTACCTTATTTTTCTCCTTCCCCAACCTATAAACTCAGTCTAACACTGTCCAAATTGAATCCTTTCAGTATTTCAGTAACCCAATGTTTGAACAGGATCTTTCACTGGCTTTTTACTCTAGAATGAACATGTAAGATTCTACTATATATGAAACCATACCATCTCAGCTAGTGAAAAATGAGCGTGAAAAATAATGTAATAAAGCACCTTAGCCAGGAGGCAAGGTTAATTACCCAAATATCCTACTTTATGTTAGCCACGTAATTTGAGGCTGAGAAGCCTTTACATTTTCTATAACATAAAACTCGTTCTGTCCCCTTGCCCTAAAGATGTTATTAACTTCTACTGCCTGCAGTGGAGCAGGAGGAGATAAATGTGCTGTGACTTCAAACATATAGACACACAGTCTTCAGGATGTGTTGTCAGAATACAAGTTTGTCAGGTTTTATTATGGAAAACGAAATGTATACAAAAGTAGAAAGACTGGTATAATGAAGCTTATGTACCCGTCACCTGGTTTCAATAATTATTAACTCATTTGGAAAATCTTGTTTCATCTATAGCTCCACCCACTCCTGACTCCCACCCTGCCACTGGATTATTTTGAAGCAGATCCCAGACATCATATCATTTCATCCATAAATATTGTAGCATTTATCTCTAAAGGAATGTTTAAAAACCATAACCCACAATACCATTATGACATAATAGGATACAATTCGATCATAAATATGACCTTATCCCATAGCTGCTGACCACTTCTCTTTAAGAAGGTCACTCCTTCTGCCTGGAATTTTCCTCTTTTCCCCCTCTTTCTCTCCTGCCTATCTCTTCAGTTTATGTGCCACTTTCTCAAAGAAGCTTTCTCTGACCAACCCAGACAAAGTTATATACACTCTCCCTTCATATCACTTAACTCAACTTTAAACAAATAATTAAAGAAGGAATTATTGAACTAATGTCTTTCCCCTTTTTCCCTCTCCCCTGCAGTAAACTGTAAGCTCCTTGAGGGAAGGAATATGTCCTCGGTCTTGTTCACTATCTTGTTGCCAGTACTTCAGAGAATAAATAATTGCTAAAGTGGTGAAAATTATTCCATCTCAGACTCCCCAAAGCTGGAAAAAGTCCATCTGTGGTAACTTGTTTGCAAATATGTGTGAATAATTCATATAACCACACCTTTGTATATTCTGCTCTCTGCTGACTGTGAGCTTACCTACATGTATTAGTTATCTATTGCTGTGTAACAAATCACTCCCAAATTAAAACAACACACAGGTTCTGTGGGTCAGGAAACCAGGCATAACTTAGCTAGGTTCCCTGCTTCAAAGTCTCTCACAAGGCTGTAATGAAGCTCTGGGCCATGGTTGCATTTCTCACTGGTTGTTGGCTGGAGGGTGCCCTCAGCTCCTTGCCACATGGGTCTCTCTATAGGGCAGCTTGCTTTACCAGAGCAAGCAAGTAAAAAGAGTTAGAGAGTGTCACAAATTTTTATAACCCAGTCTCACAAGTGATATCCCATCACTCTTGCCGTATTCTATTTGTTAGAAGCAAATCATTAGGTGATTTGCAAATCTCCTCACACAAGGGGAGGAGATTACGCAAAGGCGTGAATATCAGGAGGCAAGAATCACTGAGAGCCGTTTCAGAAGCTGCCTACCGCATCGTGGGACTTGCTTTAGCCAACAGAAGAAAAGCAAACATGGCATAGTACAAGTTGCCAAAGAACATGTTCATTGGGGTTTGCTTTCTCTTTCTGTGCTTGGAACCCTGAGACCACCATGTGTACAAGCCTGAGCAAGCCCACTGGAGGATGAAATGCCTTGCAGAGGAAAATGGAGGTGCCCCAATTGACAAGCAGCCAATCCTCAGCCAATGGTATATCAACCCCTAGAACTATCAGTGGGGCTATCCTAGATCATCCTAGACTCAGCAGGTGATCACAGAAGCATGCGAGAGTCTGGTAGAGATCTGCTGAGCCAGTCCTGACCAGAACAACCACTGCGACACACTACAGAATCGGGAGCTACATAAAACGATGGTTGTTTTAAGCTGCTAAGCTTTGGGTGGTTTCCTACGTAGTAAAAGCTAACTGTAACACTCACCAATCCTCTCATGTTGTAGACAAAGTCATTGAGGATTCAAGAGGCTAAATGACGTGGTTGATGTCACTGTGCAGCAAGCATAGTGGGAAAAGTTGTCTAGGACCTGGCGTCAGAACAATGAAGCGGGTTCAAGTCTAAGCTCTATCATTTTCTGTCTGGGAGACCTGGGCAAATCCCTCATGCGTTCTGGACTTCAGTTTCTTTTTTTTTTTTGTGAGGAGGACTAGCCCTGAGCTAACATCCGATGCCAATCTTCCCCTTTTTTCTTGAGGAAGATTGGCCCTGGGCTAACATCTGTGCCCATCTTCCTCTACTTTATATGGGACGCCGCCACAGCATGACTTAACAAGCGGTGTGTCGGTGCACGCCCGGGATCCGAATCTG